TCCTCTCACTGTGTCTCCTGTCCTGTTGAACGTTTATTACTGAAGGATTCTCTGCAGTCTCCTCTCACTGTGTCTCCTGTCCGGTTGAGTGTTTATTACTGAAGGATTCTCTGCAGTGTCTCCTGTCCTGTTGAGTGTTTATTACTGAAGGATTCTCAGCAGTCTCCTCTCACTGTCTATCCTGTCCTGTTGAGTGTTTATTACTGACGGATTCTCTGCAGTCTCCTCTCACTGTGTCTCCTGTCCGGTTGAGTGTTTATTACTGAAGGATCCTCTGTTATCTTTCTGTCTCATTGTCTCCTGTCTCGTATTATCATTATGATGCTTTATTCATTGCAATAACATAATACCAATTCACAAATCAATTACCTTACTAATTGCAGGGTTGACAAGTTCATCTGTCCAGCAGTCAACTGGTAAGACACTTATTTTATTCCATAAAGAGAGGATGACCGAGAGCATGCACGTACGTACCCATGTGTAATTAATAATGTGATATTCCGAATTTCACAGCAGACCGGAGACATTTGAACACAGTATTCTTGATATACTTGACTCCCCAACTAGTGAAAACAAATCACTACTGAGTGGAAATTTATCGCAGAAGGTAAAACAATCTCTTAACAGAATGTTGTATTTTGTATTCAAAATCTGTAACGGCACAAAGTGGTCTGACTTTCCGAGTCAGAGCGTCTGTGAGTCTGTGTCTCAGTGTGTCCAAGTCTGTGTGTCTGTCCACATCTGTGTCTCTGAGCTGCGTTTCCACCTTCCTCGATAATGTTTGAGAGGGAACTAGCTGCGTTCCCTCTCTTTTCTCCCCCTCTCTGTGAGTCCAGTATGTACTGTAGCGCCTCTCCAGTCAGTCAGTCTGTCAATGTTGGTGAATTAGTGGACCTAGCGTCTCAAAAGCAGACTATATCTCTCCTTTTTTCACTGATATTTCAATGCACTTTTGTTTCAGGCATCAGATCTGTTTGAGATCATTGAGAAATTACAGGTATTTTTAAAACATGTTCTTTCTCGGTGTTTTAGATGTGTCTTGAATGTCTGCATGAATCTGTGTGGATGGGGGTTCATTGAAAATTTCAAGGTAAGTGTGAGGAGTATCTCTAGGGTCTATATTAGGGTCTGTATTAATCTCTGTGTGTGAGGAGTGTCTCTAGGGTCTGTATTAATCTCTGTGTGTGAGGAGTGTCTCTAGGGCCTGTATTAATCTCTGTGTGTTAGGTGTGTCTCTAGGGTCTATATATGGGTCTACATTAATCTCATCATCAGTCCGTTTCGCTCTCTTAATTGATTAATCCTAATCTTCTGAAGCACACCTCCCATGAAATTGTCTCTATCCTCAGGGAAGCCGCTTAGACGAGCAGCGCTGTGAGTTTCCGCCCCCTTTCAAGGTAGCGACCCTGTCACTCCGTCGGTACCAGTACAGGCACGTCCCTCGTCACGGCTGTGTCAGCATGCACACTGCTGCCGCCCCTGTTGGTTGGTTCTGCGGGGGGCAGTAGCCCCCCCCGAACACAATCTTGTGCGTGAGTGCGTGCGCGGGGCGCGCGTGTCCCCCCCCCCTCTGTAACGCTCTGTGCGCGTCTGCAGTTCCTCAAGATCGGCGGCCCCCTTCCTCTGGTCTTGCCCCCCAAGGCTGGCGGATACTGGATCGAGCCACCGCCGTGCTGCGAGGGTGCGCCCCTTCCCCCGGGGCCCGAGACGGAGCCGGGCCCCTGTGACATCATGGACAGAGACCCCAGCGCCACCCTGTACAGAGACTCGTTCAGACACAAGGTCAGTGCGTGAGCCCCCAGTCCGTCTGAAAGGCTGGTTCGGGGGAACGTGAGCCAAGCTATAAAAAAACAAGAGGCGCCCGTTCGGTGGTGATCATCCAGCTGCTTCTCGAGAGAAGCCAGGGAATCGACTTCACCCACAGCTTGCTGCACCCTCCCACAATCCTCTGTGGGAAGTAGTGCCCCCTGTCCCCTGATTGGAAGCGGCTCGTTCCACTCTCCCACACCTCTCTGTGTAAAGACGCGGCTCCCGTCCTCAGTTCTAAATGCACGCCGCTGGCGCTCCCTCTTCTGCCCTCTGGCTCGTGTGTCAGCAGCCATATCACCCTGCAACTCACAACTGGCAACCCACTGAAGCTAAGCAGGTGTGAGCCTGGTCAGTACCTGGATGGGAGACCTCC